CTTGTAGGTGGGTAGAATGTAGCAAAAGGCTAGCTAAAAGCAGCAAATAGAAAGTAGCAAAAGCTAAAAAGTAATAAAAAGCTAGCTAGAAGCTAAAATTAGCAAAAGCCTGCTTTGAAGCTTTTTTCAGCCTTTTGCTACATTTGGCTTTTAGCAAACATTTTGCAAATAGGCTATCTAAAAGCTGAAAATGGCAAAAGACTTCTAGGAGCTACAAGCTGTAGAATGATAGCTAAAAGTAGCAAAAGACTAAAAGCTACAGATAGCAGAACTTTGGCTACAAACTAAAAGTAGCATAAGACGACAGAAACAAATCAGGTATTTGATCAGATTTCAAAGTAAATGATTTTTTTATGGAAATGGGGAGATTTCATATTATAGGAACAAGAAATAGGAAAATGTTTTGAACAAAGTTAAATTTACAAAGAATGTAAAAGTTACAAAAATTAGCCATATCAGCCAAATGTATCGAACAGTTTCATATGAATGGCTAAATTACCGGTATGTAGAAGGTGTTTGATTGCCAGAGATGTGCAGAAAGATTTATAAATTACCTGAAATATGTTTTACCATCTTCAATTTTCTTTTACTTTAATCTCCCAGAACGTTGAGTTTGGGAGATTTTCACACCTTTAAACAATGTCTCAACAAACATTATATTTTCAGACAGTGATATTCCCGATCATTGGGATGCCATGCCACCTGGCACCACTTGTCTGCCTGTCACTCTCCAGGCAGGGACATCCGAGTACACTGAAGTCCTTAATCTGTTCAAGGCCACATGCAATCGAACCGTTACCAAGGTAACACGTTCACTAACAGTGGTCTGGTTTCACCTACTAATCGATACGTTTTGAAGCACATGCTACAGCTTCCCTTAAACCTGTGCTTGTACCTCATTGTAGATTGAGAGGATCCAGAATCCTGCACTCTGGAAGGGTCTTGAGATCAAAAAGGTAGAACTGGAGACAAGAAATGCTCATCAGAACAATGAGAGGCGCCTCTTCCACGGCACCTGTGAAACCACCGTACCTACCATCAACGAACGGGGCTTCAACAGGAGTTACGCAGGGAAGAACGGTAAAGCATCCGGTGGTTTTGTAGTTTATTTAGAGACAATCTTGACACTTTTTTTTATATCTACATGGGAAACATGATTTGGAGACCACAGATATGTCCGTTTAGCAAAGGGAACGTCATTACATTCGTATTCTTGTGATGGTCTTGACAGTTTCATGAAACTTCTTTTGTGTCAAAGATCAACCTGCTGACCAAGTGTTTTTCTGTTTTCAGCTGCATGTTATGGCAATGGGTCATACTTTGCTGTGCAGGCCCGTTATTCTGCCCAGGACACCTACTCCAAGCCCAATCAAAATGGAGAGAAGTTCATGTACCTCTGCCGAGTGCTGACAGGGGACTTCACCGGCGGACAACAAAGCATGGTCGCTCCACCGTCCAAGGGGAACAACTCTGTTCTTCTGTACGACAGCGTTGTGGACAACGCCACCAACCCCAGCATGTTTGTGATCTTTCATGACAGCCAGGCCTATCCTGAGTATCTGATTACGTTTACGTAGAACACACTGCGATAAGAAACTTCTCAGTGCAGTTGGTCCATTTAGTGCCTTGGAAACGTCTCGGAGAACACGCGACGGTTAGATCACAAACAGAAATCAGTGAATACAGAAATTAAAGAGGCGGTAAAACAAAAAGTTGCCAAAGCTCTGATCTTTGGTGAGCATGACTCTTTGCAGAGTATACCTTCTTCCAATAAATCATATGATATAAGTTATATAAGTTATTTGAAATCAAAAGTGAAACTACTGTATCATTAAAAACAAGCCTGTTGTTTACCTAAACTCCCATTTTGCAGCCGTCTTGTCTTAAAGTAACGCGTGTCTTTAAATAAGTGATTTTTCATCATGTTTTGCATTCCAACTTTGTTACATTTGAAAAACATCTGGAGTGTATGAACGCTGAGTTAAGTATCTCAAACCTTTGCAATAAAAGGAAAGAGCAACTCAGAGGGTAATCTACACTATTTTAACCTCTTTATGTTGAAAATACATTATTTTTCCAGCTTTAGTGGAATAATTCAAACTTTAATCCCTGTAATGTTTGTTAAATGATGGAAATGGTTGGGATTTACTTTGTGGATAATAAAGTTTTTCTTTGAATTCAGTGTTGTATGATTTCTTCAAAGTTTGTGTTTGAACTTGGGTTCAAGGTTCATTGAACTTATCCCAGAGGTTAAAAAAAAGTCACCCCAAATCAGCTTGGCCTTAAGTGATAAAAGAAATTGCCCCTTTTGCTGAAGTTGAAGTGATTTATTTCTTGCCACACCCAGGCCTGATTACTGCCAGACCTGTAGAAACAAGAAATCATCTAATTCGTCATGTACAAGTGGAGAAAACATGGAACAGTGGCATACTTTCTCACCAAAACCAAAAAAGATTGCATCAACATCTCATCTAGGAGGTCATAAAAGATGGAAAGCACCTAAAGTGCCGTAGACCTCACCGGTCTCTTATAATGTACATGATTCAACAATAAGAAAGACAAAAAAACTTGGGGAACACAAACAAAACAAAGACCTGTATCACAAACAGGAGGATCTGCAGTGGAAGTGGTCTCCAGCTACAAGTATCAAGTACTTGGGTGTGCACCTGAATGACAACCTCAGCTGGAGCAACAACACCACCAGCCTGATCAAGAAAGCTCATCAGAGACTCTACTTCCTCAGATGGCTGAGACGAGCTGGTCTGGGAAGCTCAGTCCTCACCTCCTTCTACAGGTGTGCAGTGGAGAGCATGTGCTCCAGCATCAACGTGTGGCATGGAGGCTGCACAGAAGACTGTTGGAGTCAGTCTCTCCACCCTCACAGACATTTACACCTCCAGATGTAGGAAGAGGGCCACCTGCATCATGAAGGACCCCACTCACCCAGCACACACTTTTTGCCCCGCTCCCCTCAGGCAGGAGGTTGAGGAGCATTAAGTGTAGAACCACTAGACTGAGGAACAGCTTCTACCCTCAGGCTGTTAGACTCGTGAATCTCTAACCAGGATAATCACTGTGGAAAAAAATCGCATCATGTTGCTGCTGATCTGTTTCATGTTGCTGCTGATCTGTTTCATGTTGCTGCTGATCTGTTTCATGTTGCTATGTTCATTCGTGCTCATCTGCTCACACAGACTCATGTTCGTGCTGCTGTTGTTTTTATGCTACTAGCGCTTAGCGTATTTTTAGCAGATTTTTTTCTTAGTTTATATCTTAGATCTTATTGTTTTTCTTTTGCATTTTATTGTTGGGTGTAACTGGGACCCTGCGTACATAATTTCGTTCCACCACAATAAAGAATATCTGAATCTGAAAGAAAAAACATCTTGATGGATGCCCTGTGGACTGATGAGACAAAGTATCATTTTGGAAGGTGCTGCTGCTGTAAATCCAACACTGCATTTCTGAAAAAGATGGGACGGTCAAACACGGTGGTGGTAGTGTGATGGTCTGGGGTTGCTTGGCCTCTTCTGAACCTGGGTGACTTCTTGTACGGTAATTGATGCAACCATGAATTCTGCTCTCTACCAGAAAATCCTGAAGCAGAAGGTCCAGCCTTGAGCGTATTTGGCTTTTGGAGCAGGCTGACGATCTGAAACGCAGCAGCCACATGAACTCATCAACAGTAATCACAAACCCTTAACTGCAGTTGTTGCCATCAAGGGGGGCACAAATATTAATCTAAAAATAATCTGTTTTAGATTTTTCTACCTGGATTATTGAGCATGAATCAGGACACAAATATTAAGTTTAGTGAAAAATAACTTTTTCATATTAAGGCCAGGTTGCTTTGGATAAATATGTTTTCCCTTGGAAGTCCTCTTTTAAAAAGTGCATTTACAGCACTGTACTTCCTTTCTAAATCTAAAATTGTATATAAATGTGTAAATGCTTTATTCTTATCACAAAATAGTATTTTTTTTTTTTAATTAAAAATGTAGACTGGCTTCAGATTAAAATTAGAAAAAGTCAGAATGGAAAATATAATTATAAAATATAATTTCCCTTTGGGATTAATAAAGTATTTTTTGAATTTGAATTTGAATAAGCTAAACCAGTTTTTAGTTAACATTTATTTAGGATCACCCTGTTGGTGCAAACACACTAATTTATCCCTGTTAATTGTCTTACATTTGGCAATTTTGCAGAGTCAGCAAAAAGAATAGACTGCTGGTTATATAAAATTATAGGCAGCTAATAAAAAAGCAAAACACATTCTGATGTAGAAGTCTGATGAAAACAGGTTAAAAACAGAAATGACCAAAAATAAAAACTCTAAACTTAAAAAAAAAAAACAATACTTAAATATGTATTTGTAATGTGACAATATGTAGAAACAAACTCTAAAAAAAAAAAACTTTTCATGTATAATTTTTTATATTTAAAGTTTCTATAGATGCAAAAAGTGGAGAGGTTTATGAAGCTGAACACAAGAAACACTGTCCTACATTATGCTTACTATTTAACACTGTTACTTATTATAATTGCCCTTAGTTAATAAAAACGTGAGGTTTTATTAAAAGGAAAACACATAAAATACTCTGCTGACATTAATAGCTCAATTCCTAGAAATCAACCGATGGTTAATGGAAGTAAAATAAACAAACAAATAAATAAAGATGCTTTTCCTGTAAGAAATGTATTTTGTTTTCATGCCTTTGGAAAATAAACGCCCACTTGCGCCCTCTGCTGGACATATTTTGATACTGCAGAAAATCATCCGCGTTATTAAAATCTTAATTTAACGTCAACAAGAAGAGGATTTAATCCACAACATGCACGTCGGTGAGCTGCACCCTGCACTTTTATAAAACAGACAATAATCAAACTAATGGAAAGCCTCCCAGTTATAATAACGTTGCCTTCTTATTGGCTGAATGGTGGAATTTGTTCTTGTTTCCCCACCCACGGACACAGGTGAGCCGCAGGTGAGCCTACCTGTCTTTTGGGAGTTAAAAACGCGGAAGTTTTCAGGGTGGGGGCGGTTTTCCAGCTGCACCCAAACCTGAGAGTCATGAAATCACGTCATGCTTTCCTGCAGGAGTCTGCGTGGATGTGAGCCCGAGTAGGAAAACTCCTCGACAGTTCCTCTCTGGACGTTGCGGACCCCTCAGCGGGAGTCTGGTGGCCATGGCAGCCGCCTCTCCGTCGCTCCCAGGCGGCGCGGCGCCGGGCGCAGGGCTCGGGGAGAACCCGGCGGACCTCGGCAGCTTGGAGAGGCTCACTCCCTCCGCTGTCAACCGCCTCATGATGGAGTTTCTCATTTACTTCGGCCGAGCCGTCGTGGTCTTCTACCCCGTGTACCTGACGGGGTACCTGGGCCTGAGCATCAGCTGGGTGCTGCTGTGCATGGTGATGATCACCTGGTGGAAGAAGAATCGTCAGTGGAAAGACGCCCGGATCGGGTCGGCCATCGACTTTGTGGACAACGAGACCCACGTTATCAACACCGAGCTGAAAGGTTCCTTACAGATGGCTTCGTGGGTATGTAAAGCCTGCCAGATGTGGAAAAATACAGTTTCACTCAATAACCTCTGTAGTGAGGTGTCAACAAACTGTTCTGGACAAATGTATGGGTGTGGAGGGTGCATCAGATGGATATAGGTGGATACACCTGTTAGTGGGGTACTTGTATATCAGGGTTTATCAAGTACCCGAATTAAAGAATAAAACATGTTTAGTTTCATATGTTAATTTTCCAAAAATGTTTTGGTATGTTTGATTTTTGTATCTGGGAAAGCAGCACCGTTACCGTCCTGATGCATGCGCAGTCATCCGGCTAGATAAATCTAACAAGGGTGAGTCCTCTGGACAGATTCTTCTTTGTCGAAACGTTTCGTCTTTCATCGCAAAGATCCAGTCCTCTGGCACAAACGGAGTAATATTGTGTATGCTGTTCAGTGTCAGTGCGGTGAAACTAAACAGCCACTGGCCAAAAGGATGGCCCAGCACAAAAGGGCAGCATCATCAGGCCAGGACTCTGCGGTCTACACTCGTTCAGGGATGAAGATGTTCACATCCTTGATTGAGAGGAACTCTGGTTTGAGAGAGGTGTGAAGGAAGCCATCTATAAACGGGCGGAGTCCTCCGTTTTCAACCGTCATCTTCTAAATAATCCTGTTATTGCAAGTATCATTCAGCCGTCTGTGAATAGCAAGCATGGCACTAACGATCGATTGTTAGGCTGATGGTCCTCCTGTTACATGTGAACAGTTAGGTCTGGATATCATCAGCAAACTGGTTGATCCACTGTGGGAAGGTGCTTTTATAAGACCGTTTGTTGCAGCTCGTCAGACTGAAGAAGTTTTTTTGGATAAAAGACGAAACGTTTAAATAAAGAAGAATCCGTCCAGAGGACCTGACTCACTTCCTGTTAGTCTGTCACTGTATGTTTTTGCAAAATCTTTGAATGTCACGAAGACTGGTTTAAAAAGAAAATCTAATTCATACAGTAAGAAACCAAATCCGTTCAATAGTTTTTCACCTATTAATTGGTAAAGAGTCCCAAAATAAAATAAAAATTTAAGTAAAATTTGTGACCGGATGCCAGCTACCACGTGTGTTTGTTTACCTACGGAAACGGCCAATGTGACAGAAAATAGGTCAACAACGACAACGCCCATGGAAGAACCATTTTGTATTGAGAAGTCGTATAATTTTGATGTACTGGCTCATATTTACTCTGATTTGTTAAATAAATTATTCAGATTTTAAAACTAAAATGTGAAAAATACATTAAAAACTGTAAATTGGTCTAGTTTTGCAAAAGCTGCGAGTGTTTGAATGCTGAGTTTTTGCTCCGCCTCCACACTCGACCCTCATATATTACTGTCATAGGATTTATTATTTAAACATTTAAGTCTTAGGTCACATAGTTTACTTTGTCAGCTATCTCCTTGAACATTATTCACAATTTACTCAACATCCTGCTTGTCTGACAACAAACTCAAAATAAAAACATTATCCGCTCATTTGAGATATTTGGAAGTAAACGATAAAGTACATCCCGTGTTTTTTTCCATAATTCAAAGCTGAGAAACGCACAATAAAATACCACATAAAATGAAATGGTTAAAATTTAACTAAAGCTTTTTTTTTTTGAATTGAGGACCGTGTTACAGTTGGTAAGAGACAATTGGTAGTTTGGAGATTTTAAAATCGCATTCAATTTATTAGAATCATTTAAAAGACAAGTCAAAATTAGAAGTTGGCGCTCACCCTTTTAACACAATTTAATTTAGGAAGTCTAAAAGTGAAATAAGCTTCTAAATTTAAAAAAAATGTTGACGTACCTGCTTTGCTTTTGCTCATGCTGTGGTTGTGGAGAATACATGAACAGAAAAGAATAATAGAGTTTCAAGGGAAGTGAAATAGGTGTGTTAACATCCACATTAGGAGTTTCTTCTTTATTTAATATTTTTACCAATTAAATATATAAAAAAAATGTATTGCAAAATTAGCGATTGCGATTATGATGGAGCTGTTGGTTTGACCTCTGTCACGAGGTCTAATTGGTCCTAGTTTAAGGAAGAGCCGATTGTTCCACTTTTCCCACCAACTTCAAACCAGTTGTATTGCTTTCCGCATCTTTCTTGGCACAGTGGCTCGGCGGTTAGTGCTATTCATCTGCCACTCTTCTGAACTGACGGCTAAAACCTCCAGAAGCCAAGTGTTGAACTGCGGGACGTGGAGTCGATGCGTTGCTTTGACAACAGACCCTGTATTTGCATGTCCGAGCAGACTCGGGCAGACCTCCCGGAGCGAGGCAGGGATCAAAAGTCGTGTTGGGTTCCAGGAGGTTTGGCCGCTTCACATTTGACGGCACCACACCCGCAAACGGTGACTCATGTTACGTGAGAAAAGAGAAATGTTGTTTTCGTGTCACAGGAATGCAGATGACTTGTACAATGAGTGATTTTTTAAATATTTATAGGTCAGATTATGATGATAACACCATATTTTCTGTCTTTAACACACATGGAACTTCTGTTCCGGTTCACAGTTTTGATGCTGCAGACAAAGTGTCGGTAAGCCCTAAAAACCACTGCTGTCCAAGAAATGCTGTCAAATCTCTGGAATGAATCATTTACCCCAATCTTAAAGCTGGATTATTCAACAACTGAAATGTTGAAAAATTTTCGCTCGCTTAATTTGTTTAATTACATCCTTGTAATTTGGTCAAGCATGCCATCGTGTTGTAATGAGAATATTCCTCAAACATGTGATGACAAACGGGTAAAGCTTTTATTTTTCTTTGCATTCCCAAAGGTGCATTTCACAGAAGTCGAGAAAGTTGAGTGGGTGAACAAGGTAGGGATTTAAACTTTTATCTTGTCTTATGTTTGTAAAACTTTTCTTCAGACAGTGGCTTTTCTTTAATATGCGGAGTTTGCCAAAACAGTCAAATCTCTTGTTTCAGGCAAAGGGTTGACGAGTTTACAGCAACCTGCAAGCTGAATATGTCCGCTTTATGAGTTAACGTTTACAGGGCTTCTTTAATCATTATTTTTGACATGTAGACTACTGTATTCTTCTGACTATAAGGCGCACTTAAAATACTTTAATTTTCGCAGAAATCGAGAGTGAGCCTTATAATCAAAATGAACACGTTTAGCTTAATGCGCCTTATTGATGAAAACAGGCCCATTCATTGATATTGCGCCTTGTAATCCGCCTTATAGTCCAAAAAATACGGTAACTGTGTTTGTGCCTCGTCTGTTCGGTCATACGTTCAGGTGTTGGAGCAGGCATGGCCGTTCTTTGGGATGTACATGGAGAAGCTGCTGAAGGAAAGAATCCAGCCGTCTGTCAGACTCTCCAACTCCGTGCTCAAAATGTTCACTTTTATCAAAATCCACTTCGGCCACAAGGTGAGTTGACATTTTGACCATCGTTTCTATTCTTTACCAACCTCTTTCATGAAAAACTGCACAGAGTTTAAGGAAACTTGCAGAAGGTGATCATTGGATTTACATCTAGAACTAATAAAGTTTTGAAGACGGTCTTATTCAAGATGTCTGACGACCTGTCATCAGCCATGACCAACACAAAAACGGCTTTAACAGTCAATTTGATAAATGAGCAAAAATTTGACGGGGAAGTAGCTGTCATTCAAAACAAATTATTTTCAAAGTTTGACCAAAATGGCTCCAACAACAGGCATGAAAGGTAGCAAGCGCTGTACAGTAGTCCCTCATTAATCACGGGGGTTACGTTCCAGACACCCTCGCGATAGGTGAAAATCTATGTAGTAGGGACGTTCTATTTATTTTAGTATATATATATATATATATATTGTAAGGCTTTATAAACCCTTCCTGCACTCTTGCATTGTTCTGAACAATGTTCTAAACTTTCTATATGCTTTAAAGGAGCACAGCAAAAGAGAGCAGACAGACTGATGCTATAGTTGCTGAACCAATCCAAGGGGCGGACTGACCATTGGGAGCACCAGGACATTTCCCGGTGGCCTGGCCCGCTCAATGATCACCAAGGGGCTGGACTAATGGCTAAGTTCGGGTCGTGCTTGATGATTTTAAATAAACAATCCATTCCGCTCACTCAGGTATAAAATAGACCCCACTCCTTTCTTTTTCTGAGGATGTCTGTTGCGTGCCCACCTGTGACAGAACCCTCAGAAAGAGAAAGGAGGGGGCAGGGGGTGGGGTCTGTCTTTCCCCATCACCACTTGTGTGTAGTATACAATCTTGCATTAAAAACCAGCGAAAGAGTGAGTCAGCAAAAGTCGAACTGCGAAGTATCGAGGGACTACTGTACTTTCCTTCTCGAAAGGCTCATTTCTCATTAGTTCGGGGTTCTTTAAATGTCTTTCAGCCTCTCAGGATCACAGGAATGAGAGCGTACACCCATGAAGTGGATCAGCGGGTGGTGATCCTGGACCTGAACATAATGTGAGTCCAACATCTTTTACTCATGTCTGGTTCTGGTTTTGTTGGTCACTGTGTCATATTTGGTCTGAACCTGTGTTCTTGTTGCCTCTCTGTCATTTTCTTCCGGTCTACTCCACAGATACGACAGCGATGTGGACATCGATGCAACGGTGAACTCTGCAATCACAGCTGGTGTGAAAGGACTTAAAGTGAGATTATTTTTATTTGTCTCCTGCTGAAGCTTTACTGTTCACGTCCTCTACGTTTGTAAAATAGGAACCTGATTCTTTCAGTTCCAGGGGATGTTGAGGGTCATTTTGGAGCCTCTTATCGGTCAGTCACCGCTGGTTGGAGGGGTCACTCTGTTTTTCATCCGCCGCCCTGTAAGAATACAAACATTCGTCCAGTTAGAAAAGCTGAATTTTTTAGATAAATCCTGCCTTTTCTTTCCCTCAGACTCTTCAGATCAATTGGACCGGCTTGACCAATCTTTTGGACAGCCCCGGGTTCAAGTGGGGCTTTCTTTTTGATTCTTTGAGTTTCTTCAACTTTTACCGTTCAAGTCTGGTTGCAGACCGCTCTAAACTCATCTGTACCCTTTCAGCTCTCTCTCTGAGGACGCCATCTTGGACATCATAGCCTCTTTCATGGTGTTACCGAACCGCATGTGCATTCCCCTCATCGACCAGATCAAAGTGGACCAGATGAGGTTTCCACTTCCTCGTGTAAGAAACGCTGAACAATCCTCAGCTGAGCGGAGCTTCTGTACATACAACGGGCTCAGATATTCTGATGTGAGGCTGTTTGACTCCTGTGCTCCTCAGGGGGTGGTGAGGGTCCACGTCCTGGAGGCCAGAGACCTGGTGGCCAAAGACACGTACATGATGGGCTTAGTGAAGGGCAAGTCAGACCCGTACGTGAAACTCCGAGTCGGCAACCGCAACTTCAAAACCAAAACCATCAAAGAAAATTTGCACCCAAAATGGAACGAAGTTTACGAGGTGAAGAAACAAACGCGCTGCAGCAGAATAATGCGTCAAAGCTGCTTTTTGCCTTGTGTCATGTGAACTTTTCTCCTGATATTATCAGGAGTCTGAGTCAGTTTGCATGATTTTTATATGAATTCTTCTAAAGACTTTTAAACTTTTCTTAACCTGCAGTTTGTGGTTCATGAGGCGCCGGGACAGGAGCTGGAGATGGAGCTGTACGACGAGGACACGGATAAAGACGACTTTCTAGGACGGTAAGAAACTGACTAATAACAGATGTTTTTTTTTTCTTCTTCTTTCGGCTGCTCCCTGCGTTAGGGGTCGCCACATATAATAAAATAGGAATACAGCAGATTGTATTACTTGTGATATCTTTGTATAACTTTTTTTTTTAAATACTGCTGAAAGCAACAAAAAAAAAATGGTTTAATTTTGAGTTTAGTGTAAATACTGGAAGTTTTTTTGTGTGTGCCTATTTTGTTTACTTTTAGCTAATTTAATTGTAAAAAGTGTTAACTGACATATTTTTATTAGATATAACCTGGATTTAGGAGAAGTTAAGAGAGAGAAAGAAATGGATCAGGTGAGTTTCAATACATGTGATAAACTACATTACAGTATTTTTCGGACTATAGGGCGCACCGGATTATAAAGTGCAATATCAGTGAACGGGTCTGTTTTCATACATAAGGTGCACCGGATTATAAGCCACGTTAAGCGAAACAAAACAGTCAGATAAGTTAAACTTAATTCAACTCATTCACAATAACCACATAAAACTGCTCAGTAAGCACAACCAGATTTAATACATAAGGCGCACCAGATTATAAAGATCACTGTCAATTTTTAAGCAAATTAAAGGATTTTAAGTGCGCCTTATAGTCCGAAAAATACGGTATATGCAAAATATATTTAGGAAGATGGTACCAGTTTGTCATTTTCAACAGTTTTTATTTATTTTTTTGTTGTTTGAAGTGGTTTCCTCTGGAGGGGGTTCCTCATGGAGAACTTCACCTGAAGCTTCAGTGGCTTTGTCTGAAGTCCGACGCCAGTCTGCTGAGGGAGGTACAGCTTCCTCAGACCACATCTGTTTTTATTCCAACTCCCAACGAGTTGGGCTCAAAGCTCCCAGCTGCATTGCGTTTGTTTAAATGTTACATTTCTTGCAGTCTGAGGGTGGCTTTGCCTGTGCCATGCTCGCAGTGTATCTGGACAGCGCTTCCAACCTGCCGGTAAGTAGCCGCCAGCGGGACGCGTTGGTTTTCATATTTACGAGCGGTCGAGCTAAACGCGCAGAGTTCTGCTTTTCTGTTTGTTTCCAGAGAGATCACAGCGAGTTAACAGCCAATCAGAAACATGGGAAGCACCCAAAGGAGTCACGGGTAAGACCAAAGCTTTATTACAAAGGGTGTGTTTGCATGGCATGGTGCATATAGAGAGAGTGCATAACTTTGATTTTTCTTCTTCTTATTATTATTATTATTCATAAATGCATGAGTTTTATATGTTATCAGTGCAGTTCTCTACTCCAAGAAAATTTATGTTGTCAGGAAAAAAATTGTTTTATGACTGAACTTGAGTGCTAAGAGTTGCAGAATCATGTAACAAATCCAAAGTCTGACGGGATGCTGCATTAATCGCCATGGCAACCTGAGCTCACCGCAGACTGAACATTTGATTGACGGCTTCCTTCACGTCTGCCTGCACACTTTGAAACAATCAGCTGGACCGTTGCAACAATTAGTAAAAGACTTTAGCAACAATTTATCCTCAAGTAGCAGCGCTCAGTTTGCATTTGTTGCTTGTAGTTTCAAAAATGTGAAAATAGATTAGAATTGATTTTTTATACATTTCAATTTTAAGTGTAAAATCTCAACGTTCAGAAGTGTTTTGCATCTCAGTTTCAGACGGGAGGCTGAGTCGAGTCAAAACTTTCTGTTGGTGTGACGGGTGTGTTTGTCCCAGAGCAAAGCTGGTATTTCCTGTTTGTCTGGTGTGTGTGTGTGTGTGTGTGTGATCTCACCTGCACTTGTTGGTGTTGTGAGATTTCCTCTTTCACCTGAGGCTTGAACAGGTTGAGCTTCTCAGTATTAAAGGAAATGGTTCAGTAGGAAAACAATCCTTTTCCCGAGTTTTAATAATAAAGCACGAACATTTGAGTGATATTTATTTTACTTTATAAAAACTTTTGACACAAAAATATCAACATGTACAACAAAGTGTTCATCTGTTTGCATTTTATATGATAATCTAGTATTTTTGTCTTATTGCCTGCTGATCATCCTCTGCTGGCCACTACTTGACATTACAACAACAAAGTAGAAAGCAATAAAACATCATGTCTCCTTTATGGGAGTAAAAACTCAAGTTTAATTTTACTGGAATGTTAAAAATGATCGTTAACCAACGGAAGCGTTCCCGCCCTTCTCCAGATCTGCTCCACATCTTCTGTGTTGTGTCATTTGTGTACAATCAGTCCGTTTGTGCACAAACTCCCTGTTTATTAGTGAACATTTTGTATCAAGTGTAGAGTATTTCTCTGACAGATGTGTCCTAATAAAATCAGACGTGTTCTTAAAAATGTAATTGAAGAGTATAAATGCAAATACATTTTTAGAAAAAATGCAAATTTATCTCCGGTTTGACTTTTTTTCCCCCCTAGCTCACAAAAAGAAACGTTTGTCCTAACTCCTATGTGGAACTGTCTGTTGATAAGGATGTTCAAAAAAGCAAGGTATTCTTCTCCCTTCACCACAATAATACACATTTCAATCCATTTTTTCCAGCTCCAACCTTCTGGCTGATGCGCGTGTTCATTGCTCACAGTTCTAACTTCAGAGCTTCTCGTGTCTTTCTGCAGGCTGTATTTAGAAATCAAAACCCGGAGTGGGAGCAGGGCTTTACGTTCTTCGTGCACAATGTCAAAACGCAGAAGCTCGTGGTTCAGGTTCGTCACAAATCACTGAACGCATCCCTTAAAGTTTCTCTTTAGGATATGTTAAAGAACCATTCGCCGTGTAATGCGCTCTGACATTTCTCCACCTGTAGACTCTCGATGGTTAACGCAGTGATGTTGCAACAGCGTTTGATAAAAACTGACAATAAAAAAGTGCTTTTCATAGTGTTTCCTTGTCGTCTTTGTTGGTTCGGTTCAGGTCAAAGAGCATGAGAAGAAGGCTGTGCTCGGGGTTTTGAACGTGCACCTCAATCGCCTCATCAACATCTCCGACATGTCTCTGGACCAGACCTTCCCGCTGGAGTGCTCCGGACCCAACAGCCAGATCAAGCTGAAGGCAACTATGAAGGTCTGTACGGGAGCTCGCTCTTCACTTTCGCTCTCACACACCTTGAAACTGTTTTTTCTTTAAGCTGTTACAGATGTGGATGTGTTGGCACCCTTCCACAATAATAATAATAATTAAAAATAAATTATGTGACTGAAGTTAAAAAGCTCCAGTTTTGTCTCATCAGTCAGAAACTTTGGGGCTTTTAGGGTGAATTCACGTCTTTTTTTAGTTTTTCCTTGGTTTCCTTGCTTTTTTCCGACCACCATCACCATCATCTGATCAGCCTGGGGCTGCATTTCCTCTTGCGTCTACATCCTGGGTTTTAGATTTTATTTATAGCATTTATGATTCAATGCAACAAAATAAACAAGTTTAAAAGGTAACAACGGATCATTGTAAAACTTGGTTTATTTACATAATGACTTTAATCGCTGGATGTCCGGCCCCCGAGCTGCTGGCTTTCAGAAACTGTGGCCCCCTGAGAAGTTTTGTTGAAGTGCCCTGACCTAAGCTATACACTAAGATATACGCTAAACGATACGATAAACACTAATAATGTAAAATAATACGGTATATTAAACAGCAGCTTGAACATGAGTCTGTAGTGAGCAGATGGATATGAATACAGATTAAACCAACGGTTTTATCCACATCTATTGGAACTCAGTCATTTAAAAACTAACAAGTTAGCTTTGCTTAACTCACAGCCGCCGTGTCTTCCAGATTCTTTCTGTGGAACTGCCGCCACCCAAGAGTGTCCCTGCACCTCCCCCCAATGCTCAACAGCAGAAACCACCAGTCAAACCAGGAGGTAACACCTCTGCTGCTGCTGCAATTGTTCCCACCAACGCCACCCCTGCTCAGACCCGTCCGGGGGATCCAAATCAGAACGATCCGGATCAGTGGCGCGGCAGCTCCTTCCTGATTTCTGATTCCGAGAAGTCTTCGTCAAACATTAGGCGGTACGACTCCCACAGTCTGCTCTCGGAGAACTCCATCGCGTCGTCACGTTTGGACATCTCCGAAGGAGCCTCCTATCCCGAGTGAGTCCATAGATCTGTCCTCGTCTTTTTTCACACCTGAACTGACGCAGAATAACAGGAAATCATAAAATTGACTTGTTTTTCTTTTCATTATCGTAGGGCTCTTAGAAACCATCAGGGCTCATTCGGAGAGATCAAGCTGACGGCAAAATACGCTACTCTGAGGAGGAAACTTATTATCATAGTTCACGCTTGCAGGTATGTTATGTCATCTTTCTTTTCGTCTAACAACAAAACTACTACTGTACCTGTATATGTTTACTGCTCTAAAACTATACCCTGTTTCCTACTGTGAAGCATCCCATCTTCTAACACAGTCCAAGAACTAGGAGACCAATTGTTGGAGTTTGTGGAGGGAATGATGTCCCATTCCTGTCTGATGTGGGGTTCGAGCTGTTCCAACAGTTCTGGGTCACCTTCTCTGGTTTTGTTGAGTTTATTTGGATGGGACCACGTTCTAAGGGACTAAAGGGGGTTGTTCCTTTCCATTGTCCCCAATGTGCTGCTCAGGATGGGACAATGCAACCAAGTAATGGTTTGATGCAACTGCTGGTTTCCTTGGGCAGATCACTTTAAGTTTTATAACGTACGTGAATGATTTTGTACAATTCCTGAGGTGACTTTTGTTGTGAATTGGAGCTATAGAAATGAACTGAATCTACAACCTGTAGATCTTCTGCATTAGATAATGCACCCCCATATCATCAGAGAGGCAGGCTTTATGGTCCTTTTTTTTTTTTGCCAGGAGAAAGTGGCTTCAGTAGTTTCCAAAAATAATGTTAAATTTTGATCATTCTAACCTGAGAACTGTTCTCCACTTTGCTTCATACCACACCATAGAGCTTGAAGCAGCGCACGTGGCACAGGGAACTGTGTTTACATGCAGCGATGTCCAGAACGGAACCAGACCTGGTTTTAATGCCGTGGTCCCTGAAGGGTCGAAGATCACGAGCGTCTATTTTGACGTTCAGCCTCGTCTTTTGAGTTTAAAGATTTCTCCAGATTTTAAAATTATTTTCATTAAGAACTGCAGATGATAGGAAATTCAAAATTTTCCCAGTTTTCCATATTATTTTTTTATTGTTCCATGGTTTTTAGAGTGGTGAACCACTGCCCATTGTTACTTCTAAGAGATTCAGTCTCTCTAAATGCTCATTTAAAAAACAGTCCTTTTTTACTGACGGTTAAACCTGATTAGTTGCAAAGTGCTGCTTCTTGTTGCCTAGTCACAACTTTATTTGAGATTTTACCCTAAAGAATAAAAAAGTCAAATAAGAGAATTTCTTAGATTCATCATTTGATGCTTCACTGTGAATGAAATATGAGTTTATGAAATTAGCAAATTGTCATTTACATTTTCCTGCAGGAACTTATTCCCCTGCAGTGAGAACGGCACAGACTCCTACGTCCGCCTGTATTTACTGCCCGACCACTCCTGGAGACACCGCAAGAAGACGCAGGTCAAGAGGAAGACGACCGATCCCGTCTTTAATGATAAGTGGGTCGAATCCATCCCATGTTTAATTTGATGCTTGTGCGGGCGAAGTAGAGGATTTTTAAGTTCGTTGTGCTTTCAGGTTTGAGTTTGACGTGTCGCTTGAAGAAGCACAAAGCAGGAAGCTGGATGTGGCAGTTAAAAACAACAAGATGTTCCATACGAGACAGAGGACTGACATCGGCATGGTATTAAAAACTTGTTTTAAACCACATATTTGTTCCTTTTCTCTAAAACTGACAGATTATTTGCAGGCCGACTGTGCAGCCTCTAAAAATGCAACTTTGACTCTTGTAAACGAGTCCTCGTGGCTCAGTATGACTAACCTGTTTAAATAAAGGTTGAGAATTATTTTCCACTGCTGAGAGGAGGTGGAGGACGATGTTCATGCTCGTGTAATTTTCCATGTTTCTTCTCCTCACAGGTGTTATTTGACTTCTCCCAGATGGATATAACCAAAGGCTTCACAGAATGGTACAAGCCCAGATTTCACTTGCATGTGGGACATAATGCAAATAATTCTGTTTATTTTTTGCCACGTGGAAATTTTCAAAGATGAGTTGAGTTAAATGTATGTAAACTCCCATTAGGTGACATAATAAGGCTGTCTGGTTCAACTGATGGAAACACACCTGCTCTCTGATTTAAAATGCATTTTAAAACCTGGTGCTTTCTACAGACTTGTCTGAAGGTTTTTACCAGTTTTTTTTTTTCCAACTTTACATTAAGAAAATATAGTTCTGAAAATGGTTATTGGGGAAAATGTTTAATTCTTGGTCTAATGTTTGTTCTTTTACTGCCATTTGCCCCTCAATGTCCTTTAACTTTACGACAATATGAGGAAAATTCAACTACCTTACATAACTGCTAATAAAATACTACTTTTAAAATATTTTTCCACAATAACTTTCAGAGCTGTCTCAGCCAGGAATAAAAATATAAAATTACTTAATTTTTTTTGCTTTTATTTTAATTTTAACTCACTAAAGGCCTCCACATTTTCAGCTTTAAAAAAAAAATATATATATATTTACAAACCGCTTGCAGGAAAAGTCCAGCCCCCTGGCGGCCATTTTTAGAGCCTCCTTCACATGTAAAAGCAGAGCATAGAGCAAAGTAAAGAAACCGGTAATAATACAAAGAAAAAACTGAAAGGAATTCATTATTTTATGATATAAATAAGCAATGAGAAAATGCATTTATAATGGATTTCTATATGGTCAGTTTTTCTCTTAAGGAACACTAGGGGGCAGTAAAGGACAAAATACTAGACGTGGATTTTCTCAATCTAGTCTGAGACATTCATCTACAAACCAAACCAAACATCCATTAAATAGTTCCTGTTTTACAGAATGCACTAAAAGGACAATAAAATATTCATCACCGGTGACACAGACTCATTTTGGGTCGGTATCAAATGGACAAGCAGGTTAATAATTATTATTAACCTTTTTATCTCTTATTTTAAGGTTTGAGCTCACACTGCCTGGGCTGAAACGCTCTGGATCCAAGATGCTTCTGTGAAACTCCTTCACTCTTCCTGATCTCTGAAGATGGCAGCAGATTGGACAAGATGTCTTTGTCTCCTCCTTGGACATGCTGTTTAAGGACGACTTGTCTTTCTTGCTCGTGTTTCACAGAGTGTAACGGTTTTTTACGCCATAGATTGACAGCGGGAGCCATGTGGTAATTTTACGGGTATTTTAGAAATGTTTTTAAAGGTTTTTCTTTTCCATAGAAAGTACTTTTTCTCCCCAAAACGTTTGATCAACCAAGATGAGGCAACACTTTTATTAGAGATGTTTTTTTTTTTTTTATTTAATTCACCTGAGCCAAAGA